ACTGCATTTTATTTATCGACCCTAATAAAAATAAAATTTTCATTATCATTAAGATGGTTCACTGATTAATTAACACTAAAAAGTCATTAAAAACATAATTGCTATTATTATTATTATTATTATTTCAAATGACAGGCTTTATGATGTTTATCATTAGCCCAGAATCAATAAAGTATTTTGTTTATATCAAATGGCGGGCGGTTTGTTAGTTATCATTAGCCCTTCAGTTGACTTCGGGCATCACAGAGGAGAGGAACATCAAAGTGATAAAAATTCGAGAGGGGGAACAGAAGAGTGATTCACTGATGTAAAAGAGACAGGCAGACAGACACAAAGACAGAGAAAAGGGTTGGGGCGAGTATTGAGGAAATGGTCGAATATGACATACAGTCGGGTCATAGTAATTTGAAGTCAGAAGTCAACTGCCGGCTAATAGACATTTTGCCGTGTGAGTATACGCTGCGTAGAGTGCAACACGCGAAGGTGTCTATCGCACACTCCTCATTATAGAAAGTAATTCTAATGCCTTTAATTTAACATTTTTAATTATAAACCGCTAACGATAACTATCATAAAACCTGCCATTTATATATCATAAATTGAGCAGAAAGTGAGTAATTTACTGAAAATGGAAATCTTCACAGTTGTAATTCGCATGCATCAAAATCGTACTTTTTTCTGAGTTGCAATTTGATATTCCATAAGCACTTACTTTTTTAAGCTTTGAGAGGCACTAAAATTCATTGAAATAAAAAGAGAAGTAAAAATAGTAATACCTGACTACAAAACAACGGAAAGATGGCTGTGAAGAGTAAATAGGCGTTAGAAGAGCACAGCAATCCCACGTGGAAAGAAGGTGTTATTATTAAAAAAGATAAATCAGTGTTTTATAGTTCAACAATAGCATATGGAAGACATAAATCGAGGATATGAATTAAATATTTTATTTCACTGATGAGTAGAAGTTTTGACGAGTATTCGTACCAATTCATAAGTCATTTTAACTATTGACTAATATTTCTACCCAATGTATAAGCCATTTGCTCGAAAAAACTTAGGCTAATGATCCCGAATGAAACGTTTTGAATATGAGGTGTCTTACATCCGATAAAACATCTACCATAAACAATGGGAATTTCATTCATGAAAAATGCTGAACCCGCAGTATTTAGATTTGGGATTCATATCTTGTTATACTCTAGATCGTTAATGTGCTTGAGATGATCATTTCTTTTGGAGATCAACACTGAAGTTGCTGGCCGAGCAACCTTGCTATTGGCGCTTTTCATTTAATATGCTATTCTTTTCTCGTTTTCTTTCAAAGATCTTAAGTCATGATGAAATTTTAATATCCATGGCTCGTTAAGCCAGTGTATTTTAGTAATGCGATTTTTGCTTAACAGGGCTCACTCACTGAGTTCAGTTGTCTGAATCCAATACGTTAATTTATAACTCTCCTAAGAAGCCGTCTGATGCTGATCCGATTATTCGAGATATCGGAGTATGTTTGCTTGAACTTCTTCACAACGATTAAAAGCTAGTAGCAATAATTGTTGCATTGCTAGACTTTTAAGTTGGGTGGATTTTCAATAAAATTAATTTTTAAAATGCGTCTTTCCTAAGCAAGACCTTGGTAATAGAGACAAACCTATTGAAGATTGACAAGTTGCCTTGCTGATACTCAACGCACTAATATCCCATATGACTTCTCACCTAAGCCCTCCAAAAATCAATCACTTATTCTAAAAATAAGATCAACCCCCCCCCCCACCCCCCCCACCCCCCACTAGTGTTGACTATAAAAATGCCAAAAGACTGATTGGATATGGCGATCAGTAAACTACCCAATCGCTTCATACTTTCGCCTATAGTTGGTTACTGGTGCCCGAACAGAAGCGAGTGACGAGTTGTGCCAAGCGTGTTATTAGCGTTCCCACATAGTTTGAGTTAGTACAAAGCAAATCAGAATATGCACTCCTTAAAGTCTCTTACTAGAATTTCTTTTGGATTATTTATAGTTTAAGGATATCATCTTCCCTTCTGGTGGAGCTGGTTATGTTTTATCGAGGGCAGCAATGAAGTTGGTGACAGAGGGCATGATAAGGGGCATCAAATCTTGCTCTGCTTCCTTGTTACCAGAGGACATAAGAATCAGTAAGTTCATAGGCAAAAAAGCATATTTCTATGGCACAATTACTTAAACGCACTTTAAGTACTAGATCAAATTGAATTCGTACTTTAGAAGGGAATAATAACTATCTAATGCACTAACTCTCAATCAATTCTCTCTGGGCAATGCTAATGGTCAAGTTATCCTATCGTCTCAAAAGACGCTATTTGTGCAGTATAAATTGCTCTAATTAAGTATTTAAAGTGTTCGTTGGTTAATAACTTTAATGACATGACACGAAGCAATTTATTTAATGCTTAGAGGATTGCTGTCAAGATCCCCTTAGCAATGTAGAGGAAACAGACTTTGAATGAACTGTGTACTATCACAGAGCTTAGTCATTATAAAAAACTAAGGTTTTGTTATGCAATCTAGGAACTATTGATTAGTGACAGGCTGCTCCCTATGTGACAAATAGCGCTACCTCACCTTTGAGTCTGTCAGAGTGAGCATGACATTTCTTCGTTCAGCTGTGGTACTATTGGAGGTTTAACAATTCAATGTCTGACCTTTAAAGTTCATAACTTTTTGTACATTTTGTTTAAATTAATTCCGTAGTAACTATATTATTTTGGATTTTTTAACTCGTATGAAAAAGTATTAAAAAACCCCTTAGAATCAATTGACCGAGTCCGATGCTCAAAACTTTTCATGATTGAATGATTTGTTTTCCTTTTTGGAAATTTATGTTCCGTGAACAGACCATTGCTTCAGAGCTACTTTAATGAATATAAATTAATCACACCATATAGATGTATCAAATATCAACTATCCTGTATTCGATACTGAAAATCTCAAACTGAGGCATTTAATACAAGCTCAACTTGGATGGGTGTTACAATGACCCAGTTATTTTAAGGGTGATCCACATCATTATGATAGCGTTTTCTTTAATTCATTTGCAGGTTACTGCGCTCGTGATACTGGAGTAGAATGGATTGACAGTCTTGACGAAAGTGGACTCGAAACATTTCATCCCTTTGAAGTGGAACATCTTATTAGTGAAGAGGCTATGGAGTCCACTCCGTGGATTCACAGGAGAAACTATCACCCTTTGCGAACGGTAGGCATTACATTATGCATTAGTTAGCTTTCCTCTAATTTTGGATAGATTCAGAACCAACAGACCTTCTAATCGGGCAACTTTCAAGAACATAAAATTACTTGGATTTAAGACCTACGTTAATATCCGCTTTAAATCATACATCTTACCGCACACGATAGAACGAGGACTATTAGTAAAGGCGTGAGTATTTAACTGGCTTGTTTCTTACTCAATAGAGTTGGTTTCTAGATGATGGTACAACCCTAAGTGAACATTGCCAACACTGGCTTCTGTCATTTGGGGAAAACTCCGAAAAATTAGAGTCATGTATTTTAGTACTAGGCAAAATGTCCCAAAGGCATTTGTCCTATCCAACTTAAATCGGGTTCACATTTCCAAGATCTTGTGATGCCATTTCTCCCAATTGGGTTGCAATGAGCTATGTTTGTAGATTAAACAACTACGCACAAGGATAAATTTAAGATCAATAAGGTAATTGAACTAATTTCTGAATGGTAGTAAGTTGCTTTGTGCTTTCCATATTCTTATTACTTTGTGATGCTCAATATTCATGAATTGTCAACCGGACTGGTCGATTAAGTTGGATGGCTGGTCAAGCTTTCTCGCTTTATCTCTGATCTGTCATTGTCAAGAGCAGATTTTAAGAAAGGGACGACCACTTTCTTGATTCCACTGTTTGATATATCACTAGCTATTGTTATCTCATAAATGCCGGTCTTGAGCACTAAAAATGTTGGTGAAAGGGGAGGTCGTTGGCTTGAAATTAATGCGATTGGTGCATGGGTGCTTATATAATTCGGCCTTGAAGAAGGTGTAAATTTAAAATGGTGTCCGAAATTCCACTTGGATTGCCTACAGCAAGTCATAGCAAGCAAGACAGCAGGGCAGCCTAATGTCCAAAAGAGGAGTTTAGTAGAAGGTCAATGCAAGTATGACACCCGGGGAGTCTGAAGTTCCACTCGGATCTCTGTCAGGTGGTAACAACAAGACCAGGTGTCCTCACCAGCAATGCCTGTGATATAGATGGTTTCGGAATGTATTTGTTTATTTATATCAAATGGCAGGCGTCTTGATGGT